CCCTCTGCCCCACGGGCCATTCTCAGGGAGGGGTGGCCAACGCCTTAGCTCTGCAGCAGCCCTGGGGACAGGTGGCTGGGCGTTCGGGCTGTTAACTTGCCCCTGGCTGGGGGCTGACTTCATGAAATGCAGCATTAAATTATTCTTCCTTATGTGGTGCCCTGAGACACGGGGAATGGAAGCCAGGCCAGCCCTGGTGAGCGACCCAGCACTCGGGCCATGCTCAGATGACGCTCAGCGGTAGATGGAAGTATAAATATTTAATCCAAGCAGAGCCAGGAGTGCAGGGCCCACCAGGGGCTGCTACATGATGATGCGCGGCTCTGGCACGGACTCGGCGATGGACTTGTGTGGCAGCACGTTGGCCCCGTTGAGGTAGAGCTCGTCGTTGACAATGACATCCTCACCCAGCACGGTCACATTCTCCATGCGCACCTGCCCCAGAGAGGCCCCTGTCACACCTGCCCCAGCTTGGGGCTCAGTGCCACGCTCCTGTCTGCAGGCGCTGGCACATCCCTCCGTCCCTTTGGCTGCAGCCCAAGGAGCCAGGAGGGCAAGAGCTGAGCACCAATCCCCTGCGGGGGGGGACCCACATCCTCACCCACTGCCCCACGGAGCAGCTCCAGCCCACGATGCAGGACTCCAGCCAGGAGTGTGAACGGATGCGGGCCCCCTTCAGCACGGTGCAGCGTTTGATGCGCACCCCATCCTCCACCACCACGCCAGCCCCGATTGTCACATTTGGGCCGATGACACAGTTTGCCCCGATCTTGGCACTGGGGTCCTGGAAGGAAGAGGGGCTGCACCGGGGCTGGGAGGGCAGCCCGAGCTCTCGGCAAGGCCCGCGTCACTTGGCCAGCGTGGGGACAGGAGGGCACAGCTTGAGGATGGTAGCGAAGATGGCGGTGGGAGGACGCAGAGAGCCCGTGACGCGTGCCCGGGGCCGGCGTGCTGGAGGCTGGCACTTACCACCAGCACGTTCCCTACGACACCGGGCCCCGAGTACAGCTTCTCGGGATGCTGTGCACGCAGCGCCTGCAGGTACATGCACATGCCTGTGAGGAAGTCTTTCGGCTGCCCGATGTCCATCCAGAAGCCTGCAGGGACAGAGCCACAGTGATGGCCCCCAGCGCGGGGGGTGGCAGTGCAGACAAGACCCCCACCCCATGCTGCCCACACCAGGCACAGTGCCTGCCCCTGCAGCTCCATAGCATAGAGCTGCCCCTCCTGCGCCATGGCCGGGAAGATCTCCTTCTCGATGGAGGTGGGGCGCAGCTGTGAAGACGGGGGACAGGGCTGAGTGGGAGACCCGGACACCAAGCCTGGCCTGGCCTGGCCCAGTGCCCCGGCCCCTACCTCGATACGTTGCAGGATGCCGGGACTGAAGATGTAGAGCCCGGCATTGATCTTGTTGGACACGAAGACACGTGGCTTCTCCACGAAGCGGCAGATGCGGCCGGTGTCGGCCTCGCTGACCACCACGCCATACTTGGCTGGCTCCTCCACACGGGTCACCACGAGCGAGCCCTCACCACCGTGCTGCCGGTGGAAACGGGCCAGCGCCACGAAGGGGAACTCGCAGATCACATCGCTGTTGAGGACAAAGAAGGGCTCCCCGCCCTCGGCCAGCAGGTCCCGTGCCAGCGCCAGCGGCCCCGCTGCCCGGCCATGAGTGATGCCGCAGGGACAGGGTGAGCCCAGTGCCTGGGTCTTCCTGGCCCCACCTGTGCCCATCCCACCATCCCTGCTCCCCACCAGCCATCCCAAGCCCCCAGTCCCCCTGGACCCTCACCCGGCCCTGTTGTCCCAGGTCCTGCCTGTGCCTGGCCTGATGCCCCTGGTCCCTGTCGCATCCTGCCCATGCGCACCCTGGCACAACCCTCCCGATGTCCCCGCTCCTCCCGGCCCTGCCCCTCCAT